AAAATACCATGGCTTAGGTCAGGCACACCTTAGTCTTCAAATTGACAACTTTGCTCTTGAACACTTTAAAGAGGTCTTATACAGCAGAATTGCTAATGCAATATATCATCTTATTTCTTGACTCTGCTTCCATGAGTGTTGATTGTAGATCTAAGCAAAATGTAGTCTTTGACAACTTCAATTTTCCCCCATTTGTTGTATGATAAGTACAACACATGGACAGTGAACCACAAAGTCCACAGTTTGAGCCACCAATCATTCTGCTGGAGAAATATGAGGCTTTCTGCTCCCTCGAAGATTTAAAGCCTCAGAAGCCTTATGTAGAATCACTGTGAATCAGCACCAACTAGATAGACAGCATTTACCAACAACAACAATCTCGATGCTATTTATCAGTCCAGTTGTGAGGATTTTTGTTTTCTTTGCATTGAGATGCAATCCATACTGAAGGCTGTCATCTTTGATCTTCATCAGTAAGATAACTCATTTGTCAGATTGTCATACTGTGGTGGCTTGTGTGCTGCTATGCCGCTGGGAGTTATGCCACTGGTATTTTAAATACCAGCAGAATCACCCATGGTGGACAGGTTTCAGAAGAGCTTTCAGACTAAGACAGCCAAGGAAGAATGAGAGACAAACTACTTTTGAATGTAAACCTTATGGCAAATAGTCTGAGACGCTGGATTATATGAAGAAGAACACGGTATAAAGATTGGAGATAGACTCATTAATAACCTGTGATGTGCTGACACAACCTTGTTTGCTGGAAGTAAAGAGGACTTAAAATGCTGATTGATATAGTATTCTGTATATGCATAGCTATAATACGGAATCCTGGTGTGGTGCTATAGGTTAAGCACTAGACAGCTAGCCACAAGGTCTTCGGTTCAAACCCACCAGCCACTCCACAGAAACCCTGTATACAGGGTGGCTATGAATCAGAAGTGACTCGATGGCATTTAACAACAACAACATTGCAATGTAGTGCAGTGCTAATGTGGTTATATTGGTTGATTTATATAAACTTTTCCCCCTTAGTATTTGCTCTTATTTCTTCTCAAGGGAAAAAGATGACAGGAACAAATCCCACTGTTGTATATATGAGGAAAGCTAAGGCAGAGACAAATGGAAATAGTAGTTAGATATTAGCTTCAGAAGATGTCTTAGATACCCACTTATGTAAAACTCTCATTTAGTAGGGGAGGAATACACTATATAGAGAAATGGAAGAATCACTACTTAAAATCAAACCTTGTGATTTTTCAGCTTCCTCCTTGTTCACTGTATATTTTCCATGTCTATAATGTCCATTGGGGAATCTTACTGACATAGTGGTTAGACACTCAGCTGCTAACCAAGATATTTGGTGGCTTGAACCCACTAGTCTCTCCGCGTGAGAAAGATGTGGCAGTCTTCTTTCACAAAGATTTACAACCTTGAAAACTCAATGGGCAGTTTGACTCAGTCCTGTAAGGTGGCTGCACATTGAAGTTCATTTTTTGGTGATGTCTTTTATAAGTTTGTTGTGGTTAAGTGCCGTTGAGTCGTTTTGACTCATTGCAACCCTGGCTAGGGTTTCCAAGGAGCAGCTGGTGAGCTTAAATATTTAACAGCTATTTCTATTAAGGAGTCCTGATGTGGCACTGGAGAGTAAGCACTGTACCTCAAGGTTGGTTTAAATTACAGGTAAGCAGTGCAAATTCACCAGCTGCTCCTCGGAAATCCAGTACAGGGTCGCTATGAGTCGGAACCAACTCGACAGCACTTAACAACAGCAACAATTCCTATTAATTACCCTGTTTGAGGAAGGCGGTGCTTTGGAAATATTATTTTTTTAATGTAATCACAATTCTGGCACCTAAAATAACTACTTAAACAACGTATAGTTCCTCTATCCATGTCCTCATTAACTTCTTGTAATCTTCCCTCATGAATTGTTTACAGTTTTCATAGAAGCCATAAGCAAAAATTATGTTATACTGGTAAGATTGTTATATTCTTTAATTATTATGCTATTATTTATGTATATCCTTATTTTGGAAATGACAGTCAAGATTTCTTTCTCTTACTTTTCTGTCTACTGTTACCTTGATAGATTTTAGGCTGTAATCATTGTAAATGTTATTTCAAGATTCTTTCTAGTTCTTTAGTTTAGGACTGCATGTTTTCATTAGGAGCTAAGGCGATCAAAATCTAACACATTTTGAAAAGTACTCTGCTCTAACATAGCCAGATCTCATGTTCCAATGACCTATTTTATATATTTAACTTGGAGAGACGTCTACTGTTTTAGTTATCACTGTTATTCCACATGATAAGTAATGATATTATGAAGAATAGTACCCCATTTGAATTTTTCAAATATTTATTTTATATTTTATTGATATTTAAATATATAACAATCAATGAAGATAGGATCATCTCAAATAAAAGTAATGAGAGAAACTGAATCTTAATATTGACAATATTTCCTTTGATAGTGTTTGTCATGACAGAAACCTAGTTATTTGTCTTTCTATAAGTGCCAACTTTTGTTAACATTTTGTGTATAAAAATTATTTTCTCTTTTGGGCTGGAACTTGCAATTACAATCGTGAGTCTTCTATACATACAGTATTTTATGCAGACTGATAAAAGTGTGCTTATTCAACAGGCATTGAACTATGAAGTCCATCGCCAAGTTATTTTGCAAGTCGGTGTACTTAATGAAGCACAATTCTCCAAAGCAGCTAACTCTCAAGCTCCTACTATGTGTACTACGACTGTCACTGTTAAAATTAAAGACAGTGATGAGGGCCCTGAGTGCCAGCCACCAGTAAAAGTTATTCAGAGTAAAGATAGTCTTGCACCTGGTACAGAGCTCTTGGGGTACAAAGCAATGGATCCAGAATCACGCAGTAGTGAAGGGTTAAGGTACTGTACTTTTTAAAAAGTTTGATTTCAAATTTAGCAAAGCTCTGTGTATTTTTCAAAATGATATTTTTATAACACTGTGTCTTTTGGGTTTTCCTTGGCTTCCCTATTTACATTTGATTTCTCAAAATTAGGTATACAAAGATAGGAGATGAAGATAACTGGTTTGAAATTAACGAATTAACTGGTGACTTGAAAACTGTCAAAACGCTAGACAGAGAATCAAAATTTGTAAAAAATGACCAATACAATATTTCAGTGATTGCAAGGGATGCAGGTGAGTGCCATTTTCTAGAAAAAAAAAAAACAAAAAAACATAAATGTAATACAAATATATGTATATACATAATTATGAGCTCGTAAGTAGAATTGGATTCTAAAGGGACTAAAGCTTCCTTGGCTAGGTTTTTTCATTTGTTTGGCATCTTCTCCTCTGTGGCACAATCCCTCCTCTCCAAGGTGTCTAGGAAAGTGTTTCTTCTCCCACCTTCCATGTAACATATGGTTTTAAGGAAAACTGCCTATTTTCAGGTCATAATTTAATGTAAACAATGTTTGAAGTATGACTGGCCAATTTATTTTGAAGATTTAGGCTCCAGTGCATAAGTAAATGCAAGGTTAGGTTGTGACAGTCAAAAGCTAATTTACAATGACCATATTCGTTGATCTCGACTGTGGACATAGTTGAAGATCTCCATTTTTATTTTTTTTTTAAGGAGTATGGGTTTAGATTATTATGACTTGAATTTGTAGAGTAGAGTTAAAACACTGGGTCATTTTTGTTGTTAAGTGCCGTCAAGTCAGTTCTGACCCATAGTGACCCTGTATGGGGCTTCTGAGCTGGTTAGCTTGAACCCCTGACCTTGTGGTTCATACTGACTTTGCAGTCCAGTGCATTAACTCACAATGTCACACCAGGACTCCAACCAGTGGGTATAATATGTTGAGTCTCACATATTATATGCTTTCTCTATAAAATAGCAAGGAGCTCTAGTAGCATAATGGTTATGAGTCGGGCTGCTAACCTCAAGGTCAGCAGTTCAAAACTACCTTCTGTTCCCTGGGAGAATGATGAGGCTTTCTGCTCCCGTAAAGATTTACCGCCTTGGAAACGCTATACACGGTCGCTGTGAGTAGGCACTGACTCCATGGCACATAACCACCACCACCACCATATAATACAGCACTTTCATTGTTTCCAATGTATATTTCATGACCCTAACTAGATTGATTGACACTCATTTTTATATAAAGATGTTTTGGGGGTTTTTGTTGCTATTGTTAAACCAATCTTTTATCAGGCACAGAATTTGTATATAGTTGTTAAAGCAGGTATTTCATCCCTTTGAGTGCCCTACAATTTCTAGGTTGTAACTTCTGCTGCTAAGAGCGCTGCAATTCCTAAGGTATAACTGGCACTTGAACCAACAGTTTTGATATAGAAAACTGACTTCAAAAGCTGAGAAAAAAACTTTGTAATATTTGATTTTGTGTTCCAGTAATTTTCTTTAAAAAAAAAAAAAATTAAGGTTTGTCATATGGGAGAGGTAAATATTTTGAATACATAGTAAAAAAAATTGAAAAAATTGTTGGATTATTAGTAGGGGGCTTATTGTGACCTAAGAATTTTCTAAAAATGAAAGAAATCTATGTATAGAGCTGGAGTTCCTGGCTGACACAAGCAGTGACACTTGACTGCAAACTAAAAGACTGGAGGTTCAAGCCTACCCAGAGGAACCTAAAAATAAATGTCTGGCAGCCAGCCTATTTCTGAGAAAATCAGCCATTGAAAGTGTCATTGGAACACAGTTGTACTTTGACACACTTGGGGTCACCATGAGTTGGAATCAACTTGGTGTCACTCGGTTAACTGGCTGGTAAATGGGATTGACTTGTTTAGTGTCTTCTGATTGGTTCTGACTCACAGTGACCTTGTATAGTGTTTCTGAGGCTGTATATCTTTGCAAAAGCAGAAAGCCTCATCTTTCTCCCACAAAGTGGCTGGTGGAATCCAACTGCTGACCTTGTGGTTAGCAGTGCAGTAGTTATCCTACAAAGACACCATGCTTCTGTGTTCACAAATATCACTAGGAAATTATTATTTCCAGAATCCCCATTGTGGACATGTTGTGAATTTAGACTTAATTAGCCTCTAAGATATACTTTCTAGCTCTAAGTTTGTGGTATTCTTGACTTGCTGATGTTTGTTTATGTACTTGATTTGAAGTAAGGTTTGAGGAGAGAAAACTTGTCATTAGTTAGTTTACCTTGAACAACATTCAACCATCATCAATAATCATTTATTTTTCGTTCTGTTTCCCAGAGGTAGAGTGAGAACTTACCTTTCATGGTTTTAGAAGTCTTTTGTAATTTTATTTTCAACTTTGGTGTATAGTACCATTTAGTTTAACAATTCCAAACATTTTTCATTCTGTTTTTGACAATATGCTTAAAGCAGATACTGATGGAAAATAAATTTTTTGATCAAATGTTAGTTAAATATCAGGTTTGTAAGTGATGATATGGTTTCTCATGGATGCCATATTTCTTATTTTTTAATCAACATTTGATTGTATTTTGGGTGAAAATTTACATAGCAAATTAGGTTTTCATTTAACAATTTCTATACTTATTGCTTGGAGTCCTGGTGTATGTGGGTTAATGAGCCAGACTGCAAAGCTATTTGAACTGCTAGGTCAGCGGTTCAAGCTCACCAGCTGCTCCTTGGAAACTCTATACAGGTCACTATGGGTTAGAACCAACTCGCCAGCACTTAACAACAACATACTTATTGCTTAGTTACTTTGTTTACATTTTTCACAGTGTGTTAGTATTCTCATTTCCTTTCTGGTTGTTCTGTTTCCATTAATCCAGCTTCTCTGCCCCCGCTTTACATTCTTATATTTGGTCTTCGGTAAATTTTTACTGTTTGGTTTCATTTAGACGATGATTAAGAGGAGCATAGTACTCATGGATAATATTGTTTAGTTTATGAATCAATATGTCATTTGGCTGAAAGGTAATTTACAGGAGTGGTTTGAGTTCCAAGTTTAAAGGATATCTCAGGGTGGACACCATATTTTTAATCAGAGTTTTAAGGTGTGATTTTGCTTATTTTTTTCCATAGAGAGAAACAGTTCTGTACCTCCATTAAAAAAATCAGAGTACACATGTCCACTCATGTGTAGATACTACATTTCCCAATCAAAAAACTCATAAGAAAGTTTTCTTTTCACATCATTGAATTCTTTGTTAATTTGCTAATTCTGAGATTGTTACTATTATTAAGAATTATTTATAAACTTCTGGAAGTCTCAAATTTATAGTTTGATTATGGTCTAGTATGCATTTCTCCTTACAGGATTAATGTCTTCCTCTCTCTCTCTCTCTCTCTTTTTTTTTTTCTTTCTAGCTTTTTAAAAACTTGTTTGAATAAAGTGGTTTTAAATAGCTTATGCAGTACTTAACACATATAAGTAATTGATTTCAAAGTCACTTTGAATATATATATACATATATATATATATATATATTTGTTGTTGTTGTTTATTCAACAGAAAACATACTTACTTGAAATTTACTGTATGCTATGGCTTGTGTTATTATATATATATATATATATTTGTTGTTGTTGTTTATTCAACAGAAAACATACTTACTTGAAATTTACTGTATGCTATGGCTTGTGTTATTCCAAGGTAAAGAGCTAAAACTGAATTATATTTGCCTATGAATTATTAGTAGTCATTATGATAAATTCAACATACATGTTTCAAAATTTAAACTGGCATTCAAAGCAAATAAAAAAAGAAATTTTATCATTCAATAATGAAATAATCTATTATTATAATCTTGCAGTTTATTATCGTCTCACAAATGGTAGAATCTGAACATATTTTCTGAACTTCATTCACTCTTAAATATAAACAATGGGCATTATTTTAACTAAAAGTATTTAATTGAGACTTAAGTGTGAAGAATTAGGCTAGTGATTGTGACACTGTGGAGATGATTAAGAGTTTCTATTCTTGAGAATATTAATTAAGTTGTTAAGTGTCATTGGTGTGGGTATAGATGAATTTCCTGGCTTATTTAATTTTTTCAAAGTATAAGTATAATAGCTGCATTATGTTCCATGTGCTAATATTAAGCTATAAATTATCCAAGAAATACTAGCTAGATCACTGGGCTTTCAAGATGATAAGACTTAGATCTTGCTATCAAACTGTGCCCAGGCTAGTATAAGAGTCCAGATATGAGCTGTGTTCTGGGAAGTCAAATCAAACAAATGGCTTCCATTGTTGGTAGATGCTGGATCAAGTTTTACGAGGCTAGATATGAGCAGATTTGGGGTGGCTTGGCCAGGCAAAGAAGAGGAGATAAATATTCCCGGCAGTGACGACTCTAGCAGAAGAAGAGGACCTAATGGTTTCATTAGATTTTTGTGGGTTTTTTTTTCAATTTTCCCTTTTGGTTTTTCTGAAATGCCTTTTATTTCCCTTTCTTAAATTTACTTTATTTGTTGTTGTTGAGAATATACACAGCAGAACATACAATTCAACACATTTTCTACTGTACAACTCAGTGATAGTGTCTCCATTCTTCAAGTCATGCAGCTATTCTTTTTTTAATGTTTGTGTGTGAATTATATGGGAGAATATTAGTTTTACATCCATCCTATCGTATATCGTTTCATTGCCATGGTTACAATCCTCTCCATGCATCATCAACCAACCAAAGGGTATACCCTGCAAGCCTGCCCCCACTACCCCAAGTCGTCAGCACACAGCCCCTCTCCCTCTCTGGGTCTAAAGTCCGCAGCTGCTCCATCACTCCATGTCATTGTCTCTGCCTCCATCTCAGGCATCATTGTTTCTCTTGGTAGGGTCCCGCTCTCCTCTCTTCTCCCTTGATGGTCCCAGGGACCTCCGCTCCTAAACTGCAAAGTTAATCACTCACCTCTTTGCTACAAAACATCCACCTTTACATTTCCAACCCTCACAATCAGTCCTGATAACAATTATTCACTACTGTATCACAAGAGACCTATCTGCAGTTCATTTCATCAGCCCTGCCCAGACAGATTGGATATTACTCAGTGGAGATTCTACCTTCCTCCATGCCCTCTGTAGCTAGGTTATTGAAAGCTTGTAAGCTAGTCACTTCTTGACTTTGTAGCCCCTCTTCCCCCCCCCCACACACACACACTTTGGGTAGCCAGTGTCCAAGTTGCCCATTCCTTTCTACTCTGTGCATGGAGGGGGTGGGAATGATCCTCACTGTAAAGATTTGTTCCCTCTTTTGAGCTACTGAATCCATAGTCATAGGCAAGTTCATCAAATTGTATCAGATTACTCTTTTTATCTTCTTCTTTCTTCTTCTAGTTGAGCTCTGATCATCCAGTCATTGAAGCCAGGTCAAGTGCGTATTATCTGCAAGTGTGGGTGTTCTTATGCATATGCCCTCTCTTCTTATGAGATGGACGCTTCACTCTCCACTCTAGCCCTCCGTGGCTATGTCACTGACTCTGGGTTCAAAAGTCCACAGGTCTTGCTACACTGCTGGCCAAGCAGGTCTTCACCCGGGTTCACAGAAGTCTATTGAATGTTGTAGGGCTTAGCTCGTAGCTTCGTTGCTGTTTTTCCCTCACTTCCCCTTTTCGGTGATGAATGTGGTCACCAATCAGAGCGTGTATTCCCATTAAGTTTTAGTCTTGGAAGGGGGTTTACTTTGAGGGGCCCTGACCACTTGCCTTGATGTCTCCTGGATGAGCAACTTGCTTATTATTGTACTAATCTGTCAGTCTGCCTATTTGTTTTGTATTTTTCCTGTCGGTCTTTCTTTCAAGAAGTATCTTCTGTTCTAGCCACTCCAGGCTGGTCTGCTTGTCATTACAAGTGGAAATTTCCCACCTTTGAAGATTCTGGATGCGTGCAGCTATTCTTGCTGTCCTTTTCTCAGTTGTTCTTTCCTCACTAACATTAACTCACTGTTATCTAAGTTTCCTGTCTAATTTTTCCATTTACTTTTGTCAGTTAGATCTCACATAGGTATGAAAAGAGCACAGTGCTTCGGGCAGATGTTCTCTACTAGCTAAGCTAAACATTTGGTTCTAAGAAGATTTTAGGGAAAATTTTTGGCTTAAAGTTTAATGATTACCTCAGGGCAATATTTTAAGGGTTCATCAAGTGGGAAGGTAATATAGAGAAATTAAAATTTTTGCATTCTTTAGGAATCCTGGTGTGGCACTATGGGATAAAGCTGTGGACCACAAGGTTAGTTAGAACCATAAGATCAGCAGTTCAAACTCACCAACCGCTCCTTGGAAACCCTATACAGGGTTGCTACAAGTTGGAACTGACTAGATGGCACTAAGCAAGAACAACATAGATAACTATATGCTCTTTTTTTTTTTTTAATTTCTATTTTGAACTGAGTGATAGTTTACATGGGAGAACATCGGCTTTACACTATCGTTTCATTGCAATGATTACAATCTTCTCCATGCATCATCATTCAACAGTATTTGCTTCCATTCCTTCTGTTTTTTTGTTTGTTTTTTTGGGAGGGGGTATGGTGGGGAGGGGGGTATGTACACAAAAACACTCAGGAATATATAATAACTTAAACAACCAAAGGGCACATTCTGCAAGACTGCCTCTTGGGCACTAGTACACAGTCCCTCTCTTTCCATGAGTCCAGAGTCCTCAGCTGCTCCCTCTCTCCATGTCCTCATCTCTGTTTCCATCTGTAGTGTCACTGCTTCTCTGGATAGGGTCCTATATTCTGCTTGTGCTCTTCTCCTTTGATGGTCCTGCTTCTGTACTGTAAGATTAACTACTCCCTTATTTTTGTTACAAGATTCCTACCTTTACAGTTGTGACAGTCACAATTAGTCATGATATTTACTCATTATTGAATCATAAGAATCTTATCCCCATCTCTTTTCACCAGACTCGTCTTGACAAGATGAAAACTATTCAATGGCAACTCTTCCTTCCCCAGCACATGCTTAAACTAAACTCCCTCTTGAAAACTTGTTAACTATATGTTCTTCATAAAGAAAACAAGATATAAGAAATTCATTTTCTGTTTTTACAGTTATTGAAAATATGGTATTGAAGGTGGTTCTGACTCTTGGCAACTCTGTATTGGGTTTCTGAGGTTGTAAATATTTACGGGAACAATAAACCTCATCTTTCACCTGTGGAATGGCTGGTAATTTCAAACTGCTGACCTTGCAGTTAGCAGCCCAACTCATAACCCACTATGCTACCAGGGTTCCATTGTAAAATGTAAATAACAAAATATTTGCCAATTTAGCAGTTTTCACATGTACAGTTCAATAAAACCAATTATCTAAATAATGCTGCGCAACCACCAGCAACATCCATTGCCATATTTAACATCCACATAAACATTAATTCTGTGCTGGCTGAACAAAGATACTCCCTTGTTCCTCCTTCTCTCTTGTCCCTGCTAACCACTGGTAAACAATATTCTCTAGACATTTGCTTATTCTATGTGTTCTATATTAATGAGACCATTAATATTTATCTTTTTGTGATTTACTTGTTTCTGATGATTCTGTAGTGTCATTACTTATAATCTTATACTTTTTAGTTGTGAGAAAAAAAGAAGAGATTACCTGACTTAGCACTAGTCTTCTGGGAAGAATAAGAGGTCATAATTTTGTTCTTGTAGCAATGGTATCAGAGATTCTAAATGTGTGTGTGATAATTCAAGTTCAGGAATGTAATGGAAAGCAGATGTCAACTAGACATTTAAGAAATTGTAGAAAACCATTGAAAATGTAAGCCAATTAATAACCTATTTGTGATTTTTCTTAGATGGCAGATCCTGCACTGGAACATTAGTAGTCCTTTTGGAAGATGAAAATGATCACTCACCAGAAATTGATAAAGAATTGACAATTTGTCGCCATGATAAAGAGTATGCTGTTCTGGAACCTTTTGATCGAGACGGGCCAGACAATGGTCCACCATTTCAATTCCTTTTAGATAATTCTGCCAGTAGATTATGGAGTTTAGAATCAAAGGATGGTATGTAACCATACTAAATTTTACAGTCAGTAGGAATGCAAGATGGCAGAAACTCGTGACTTTCTCCTTAGTTCCTCATAATAGATAAATATTCATTTTGGGAAATTATTTCAGTGATCCTAAAGTTAAAAAAAAGATAATACTTTGCTTTTTTATAGCAATAATTATATTTCACTTAAACTGAAACCTTTGTTCTAATGATCTTTTAAGAAAGTGTCTGAATCTATATATGTTAAGATAGAATTACATGGATTATAAAGCAATTTCATAGTTTTCCCCTATTTTTCCAAGAAATCAATATCATTTTCAAGACAGAAAAATGAACCACTAGAGTATTTCTTCTAAGCTAATTGTTTGTTTGTTTGTTTGTTTGTTTTGCTCCACAAGCACACAAATTATCAATAATATAACAAAAGTTAGAATAATAATAATATCAAAATATATTCCTCTGTCTTTTATCTCTGTAGGTAACACTGCCATTCTTCGTGAACGGAATCCGCTAGATTATAACTACTATTCTGTGCCAATCCAAATAAAAGACAGACATGGTTTATCTGCAAAACATGTTCTATCAGTGAGAGTATGTGACTGCACAATTCCATCTGATTGTAGAATGACTGCTAAAAGAGATAGAGATATTGAGATGTCAAATGTCATACTTGGAAAATGGGCTATTCTTGCCATGGTGTTAGGTTCTGCATTGCTATTATGTAAGTAAAATGATCTATATAATATGTTGCTGTTAAATGCCATCTAGTCAGTTCCAACTCGTGGCGATCTTGTACAGGGTTTCTAAGGAGCAGCTAGTGGGTTTGACCCACTGACCTTGCACCTCAAACTGACCTTGTGGCCCAGCACTTTATCCTGTAGCACCACATCAGGACTCCATATAATACTTTGGTTGACATTTCATCTATTATTTTGAATATATATATACATGATAGTTCTTTATATCAATAATGCTTGTAGCCTTTGGTAATACAAACATATAAAAAACACCTTCTATATGACTTGGATTTCTAAGTCACAGAATTAGAATACTATCAGTAAGAACAAATTAAACAAGTTGCAGACTTTGTAGTCTCTGCTCTTCAAATACTTAGTTATGAAATCTTTAGCAAATCATTTCCTATTCTTTGAGCTCATTTTTATATATGCAAAAGAAAGTGGTTGAACAATATGGTTAAGATTATGTCTCATATAAAATATTAGAGTTTTTCAACTAGCCAAGTTTTCATAGGGAATTCACAAAAAAGAATTATCAAAAACTAGATAACTCCAAAATTTGTTTAGATGCTTATGCTCAGTATTATTAATGAACACAAAAGAATGTATATAATATACATCTTAAGAAGACTTCAATGTGTAGAAAATACTTATATGGTGGGCCACTAAGAAAAAAATAATGCACGCAAAGGTCGCTAAGATTTTGCATTCTGATGACTGTTTGGAGATGTGTAAGAATCAAAGTGTAGGGCCATAAACGTTTTTACAATCTATTTGATTACACAGAACACATATTTGCATGTACAAAATGTTTCCATAGTCTTTACTGTGTTATAATTAATTGATTTGAGTTTCAGTAATACACTGGATTTTCCTTTTAGTACTATATTTAGTTGTTGTACACTTTCAAAACTGGACACTGGTATATGTAGTTGTATTTCTTGTTTGCATTTATGCCTAATATTCTTTGCTTTGTAGGTCTAAAACTGTTGGAGTTTGGTCCATGTAATTTTAAATACCAATATACCAATTGGTGGTGTGTCTTGTTGAGAAATAGAAAATTTGAACATGGGATAGAAAATAGGAGGGGAGGGCTCCCTGACAGCTTAAATTTCTGACAAATAAGGTTACTATTTCAATGTGAAGGAAATAAGGGCAACATATATATTAACTTTGGACCTGGGATGGGAAGCTATTAAAAATTGTGTTCATTTAATTCTTTTTATATTGATTAATTTTTTCATGTACCCTAGTGACATAATTCACTGAAACAAAGATAACCTACATAGTAATACATTTGCTAATAATCTGTTTTAAATTTTATGACCTAAAATGATACTAATTTATTAAAATAATTTTATAGTTATATGAAGAAACTTTAGGACATCATACTATTTAAATGATATATCCTAGCAAGAAAAGACAAAAAAAAAAATCTATTTTATTTCAAACTTTTTATATTTTAGGTATTCTGTTTACATGTTTTTGTGTTACCGCTAAGAAGACAGTAAAAAAATGTTTTCCAGAAGATGTTGCCCAGCAAAATTTGATTGTATCAAATACTGAAGGACCTGGGGAAGAAGTGATGGTAGGTAAAATATCACTTTAATTATAATTATATTGTGATCCAGTGATGATAGTTAAATTACTGCATCATAGTAGGAATAATAATAATAGTTAATGTTCATTGTTGTTTTGAGCTGGCAACCACAAGGTCAGCAGTTCGAATCAACAAGCAGTACTTCAGGAGAAAGATGAAGGTTTTTGCTCCCATAAAGATTTATAGCCTCAGAAACCCTATACAGGGTCACTATAAACCAAAGTTGACTTGGCAGCACTTAACAACAGCAAAATATTTATTGAGCACTTAATGCCAAGCAAAGTAGCTCTGGTTGCGTAGTGGATACGAATCGGGCTGCTAACCTTAAGGTCAGCAGTTCGAAACTACCAGATGTTCTATGGGAGAAAGATGAGGCTTTCCGCTCCCGTAAAGATTTACAGCCTCGGAAACCCTGTACAGGGTTACTATGAGTCGGAACCGACTCCACGGCACATAACAACAACAACAATGCCAAGCAGAGTGCTGAGTACCTTGCATGTGCTAATTCACTGAAGCTTCTCTATCTGGTTTTGAGACATTATTACTACCTGCATTTTGTGTGTTGGGACCTAAAAGGCACAGCAGTTAAATGATTTGCATGCTAGTTTTAAGTTTATTTATTCTTTTCATAACTATAACTTTATTTTTAGGAGTCAAATATTCGACTCCCCACACAGACGTCTAATATTTGTGACACAAGCCTGTCTGTTGGCGGCCTCTGTGGTCAAGGAATCAAAACACAGCAAAGTTTTGAAATGGTGAAAGGAGGCTACACTTTGGAGTCCAACAAAGGTGGTGGACACCAAACCTTGGAGTCCAGCAAGGGAGTAGGTCAGGGCGTCACGGACACTGGCAGATACGCATACACGGACTGGCATAGTTTCACTCAACCTCGTCTTGGTGAAGTAAGTTCCAAATTCTTCAAATTTATATTATATGAAAGTCAAATGCTATTATAAATCAGGGTTTCCCAAAAATTTTGCTTCTCATACACCCGGAACTTATCACCTCCTTCATGTTGAATTATCATAGATGTGATATCAGGTCCAAACTCAAAGAGAAAAATGACCTTGTATAGCTCAAGTTTCAAATTAAGGTTTGCAAATAAATGGTGCTCCAAGAGTAACATTTGTACTCATGGAGGATTAAAAAGATGGATAGTTTTTTCTTAAAAAGTATCAGAAAAATCATCAGGATTCAAGTATTTGTTATAATGAGCAAATCATAAATATTTTAAGTACTGTTTTTTCCCCCCTTCAGTGTTCTTGAATCCTATCTATGGTCACTAAGTTTTGACTACCAATATCAGCTAGATTGTTAAATTTTTATTTTGATTTTAGTTCCTAGTTTTGTTTTGTGCTCACATGAATCAATATAGGTTAACATAGAGCAGCCCTATAGTAGTGTAAAAAAGTAAGACTTATACTGTTTTTATAAATATGTGAAAATGCTTCAGCGATAAACTTTCAACTATACAAGTCTTCTGTTGAACTGGGGTATCCTAAAAGTTGTGCGACATATATGCAGCTTTAATTGTCATAACTGTGTTCACTAGGAACATATATTTATTTGCTATATTTTAAGAATGAATATAATACAGACCAATCATGTGCATTTTTTATATGTAGGAATCCATTAGAGGACACACTCTGATTAAAAATTAAACAGTAAAAGGTAAATCAAAGTCATTATTTTTATGCTAATACGTTTAGGTGTTTTTTTAAAAAAAAATAATGAACTGTGCTCTTTTTTGATACAGAAAGTGTATCTGTGTGGACAAGCTGAAGAACACAAACATTCCGAAGACTACATTCGTTCATATAATTATGAAGGAAAAGGGTCCGTGGCTGGTTCGGTAGGCTGTTGCAGCGATCGGCAGGAAGAAGAGGGCCTTGAGTTTCTAGATCATCTGGAACCCAAATTTAGGACATTAGCAAAGACATGTGTAAAGCAGTAAATTTATTTTTTAATAGAGTAACATCTATAAATGGATATGTGGGAGTTCATTGAATGTAATATGATGGCAGCATCTGCTAACTATTTTGTTATTGGAGGCAAACTTCAAATCATGTATAGATACATAGGAGGTGCCCTTAAATTTCTGTTGTCTCATGAAACGTCATCATTTTCTAGAAATAAATGTTTCATTTAATTTTCTTTTATATACATGTACATATTTCCCTTTTTAGAACTGTACTCTGTGCTATCTTGTCTTCTATCCGAAGATTTATGCTTTCATAATGATTTTAAAGCTATTCTTGTAACTCCTACTTGAAAACTTGGGTTACTATATATGCCGTGGAAGAATATTTGGGAGAGCAGGGCATTGTGGAGGATAATGAAAAGTGAATTTTCATTTCAGATGTACAAATTAAATATTTTCTTCAAAACCTTGGGGGAGAATTATTCCTTTGGTGCCAGAGAATTGCTTTCTTTCTAGTTGAATGGGTCTGAGTTGAAGGATTTTAAAGTATTCTTAGATGTAGTTTTTGGTTTGTTAAATGAAAGCTACTTTCTCACTGCATTTTTCACCCAGCAGAGATGTCCCCAATACTGATTTTTTTCAGGAGCCTTCAGCGCTCATTGCTTGGATCTCTGCCTTGTGAGTAAAATAATTTATTTCGGTAAGGCAATTTCTATTGTGGTGTATACAATGGTATACACTGAAAATGATACTAGTTTTGATATTTGAAAATATAATGTTATTGTACATTTGGAAATATGTTGAAATGTCACAATATGGTATTTCCTTGAATGTAGGTGTAGAGTGCTTTCTGAGAAATTAAAGCTATCATTAGCCCAAATATTAACTTATACGTTTTTGTTTGTGTCTTTAAATTCTCTTATACTTACTTATGTGTGGAAGAGACAATTTATTTCTGAACATAAAATACAATTAATTGTCAAAGATGGACTTCTCAGTTAACAAGATAAAACACTATAATAGCATGACAAGAATTATTGGAAAGTGTTGGGAAATAGTTTGTATTAAGCAAGTTTGGTTATCTAAAATGTTTTCAAAATATCATTAAAGTATGTTTTGTATCTTTTGACTTATCAAAGCAATTTAAAGTAATTCTCTATTTAAAACCAAAATAAAATGTTAATTTTATGACTGTTTACAAATTCCATTTATTAATAAAGCATTATATCTTTTGGATAGATTTAATATAAATTGTCAATTAATAAGTTAACTCTTATGATTTCTTTTTCTGTACTTGAAACAGTAGTAAGGAAAAAATATACAATGAGCTGTTTCCTTATCTTGACTTTTTTTCACATGAAAAGTCACAAACTATTTCATGTGAAAAAAAATTAGTGGAAATATCAAGATAGATGAAAATTGATATAATTATTATAAATGTGTTTCATTAAACCTTTGTTTAAGCTTACTGAGCTTTTAATTTCTCCTAAATTTATTAAAAGTACTTTGTAAAGTTGATATTTCATCATTAGTTTTTTTGCATATATGCTATGCTGTTTGGAATATATTTTTTAAAATGTTTTAAGAATGAGTATTTTTATTATCACAATAAATCAGTACAAACTCCCTTTTCATAGTTTGCTAGTTATAGGCATTCTGTGCCAACTGATTGATGAAACTAACTATGTAATACTGAATCTTTATAATCTCACTTATTTGCTTTTTTAATAAATCTGAAGCAATGTTTTATTTGGCCAGACATTGAATTTTGTCTGTTGTGGTGCTGTAGGATAGCACTGTACTGCTAATCTGAAGGTTGGTGGTTCAAACCCACCAGGTACTCTTCAGAAACCCTATATGTGGTCCATACGGGTGGGACTGACTCAGTGGCACTTAACAGCAATAAAATGAAGTGAGCACAATTTTTTTTTTTTTTTTAACTACTTAAGGAAGCTGTTGCTGTTGTTAAGTGCTGTGGAGTCGGTTTCAACCCATAGCGGTCCTGTGTAGGGTTTCCAAGAAGTGGCTTGTGAGCTTGAACTGCCCACCTTGTGGTTCAAATCAACTTGCAGTCTAGTGCATTAACCCACAGCACCACAACAGGATTCCACTTAAAGGATGGTGTTGCATAAAAAATATACAAATCATACTTAAATGACCTGAGGTTCTTATTGTCAACAACAAAACATTACTTTCAATTATACACAAACTACTTTAAGTGTATAAAAAGAAATGTGCTAGGTTTAATCATAATATACAGCTTTTGTGAAGATAAATAAAATGATTTTACAATCTATATTAATGTAAGGTGTTTCCTCAATAGAAATCAAATGTCCTTTAATAAAATCAAATTATAGAATTAGTAGTTCTGTTTTCTATAAATTTAGAGAGAAAGAAATTGAATACAATATGACCTTCCATTCATCTGGATTTGGTCAGAGAATATACAGGATTTCAAAATGTTTCAAAATTGAATCTCCCATGTATAGCAACTAATTTATAAAATTATGGAGTTTTTATTTATCCATGTTTGCTATTTTTGCTGTTGAGCACAGTTGAGTTTATTCCGACTCATAGTCACCCTGTATAGGGTTTCCCAGGATTGCCTGGTGGGTTTGAATCACTGACTTCGTGGTTAGCAGCTCAGTACACAAGTACACACAGTACACTACAGCGTCATATTAGGACTCTTATTAGAATATTTAGAATAATATGAAGTAGAATAATTAATATTAAAAAGAAACTTTAAGGCATCCTTTCAGAGATGTGCAGTTTTACCTGGTGGAATTAACAATTAAGCACTCTACTACTAGCTGAAAGTTCTGTGCCTTGGAAGACAGGCCTGATGATCTGTTTCTGAAAGGTCAAAGTCTTGAAAAGGTTACGGAACAGGTCTATTCTGCGGTCATAGGATCGCTGTGAGTAGGAATTCACTTAACAGCAACTAGCCCCACGAGTTATTTTCCACCAGATAGAATTTAAGTACTATGGGTGAAAGATGAGGTTTTCTGTTCCTGCAATTACTTATATCTTCAGAAACCCTGTACTGGGTCGCTATGAGTCGGAACAGACTCTATGGCACTTAACAACAGAGTTCAAGAAAGAAGACTCAGACTCGGGTGTGCTTAGAATAAAAAAAGTCAGCAGTTGGAATTCACCAACAGCATGCTTCTCTCTAGAAAGATGTAGCAGTCTGCTTCTGTAAAGATCGTTAATGTTAGGTGGCTTGAATTCAGTTCTGACTCATATCAATCCAACACACTACAGAATGAAACACTGCCGGTCCTGCGCCATCCTCAATTTTTATAGTTGTTAAGTGCCTTCAAGTAGATGCAGACTCCTCGCAACCGCGTATAGGGTTTCCTCAGTGCCGCTGATGAGCGTGAACAGCCCATCTAGTGGTTCAAACCTATCTTGTAGTACAATGAACCAGGACTCCGATTACAAGACTCTTCAGTTAGGGCCTTGGAAAATCTTGGGGCAATTCTCTGTCTTACAGGGTCACTATGAGTCAGAATCTACTTGAAGGCAATAGGTGTTTGGGGTTTTATTGTTTAAGAGGAACCAAAAGAATCCCTGTTGGCCAAAGTGAAAATGAAAAACTTGCTTTTGTTTAGCTTTGTCTTTTCTAAAATACATAGAAACTGTATAAATTAAGGTGTGGATTGTGTTTATACAGTCTACAGTCTTCCTTAAAATGCAAGTTCACGGAAACATTAAGGGTATATTATCTGTCCTACAGGAGGGGTGTAATAGCATTAGAAAATCCCATCGTATTTCCCTCTTTGGGATCCATGCTCTAATACATTTCTAAACCAGTCGTTTACAAAGTGTGATTTCTGGACTAGTAACATTAACATTTCCCAACAACACGTTAGAAATGCAAATTTGGTGGGGATGGGCTCCTCTCCTCTCCCATATCTCCATAACCAGAATTTCTGAGGTAGGGCAAAACAATCTGATTTTAACAAGCCCTTCAGGATATTTGTGGTGTACTGGTGTAAAGCTGTAGGATAAGTATTGGACACTGCTAACTACAAAGTCAGGGGTTCAAACTCATCAGCTACTCTTCAGAAACCTTATACAGTGTCACTATGAGTTGGGACCAACTCAGTGGCACTTAACGTCAACAACCAAGTATTTGTGATGCATGCTCAAGTTTGAAAACGCCTGTCTTCATGAACCCCTTGGCCTTGGTACCTAGCTCTTAGTGTTGTTTGCGGACCAGCAGCACAGTTGGTACCTGAAAGCTTATTATAAAAGCAGATTTACAGGCCGCACCCTAGGCCCATTAAATCAGAATCTGATGGATCTGAATTAACTTGATGGCAGTGAGTGAGTATTTCGCAAACTCGTAACTCAAACTCAAAAATCATGTTGTGATGTTAGTTGTTTTGAGTCAGACTTATCCAACAACATTCCATAATTTGCTTAAAGACCAACAGGAAAAACTGGTAATTTTAGCAATCTAACCTGATGTGACGCTGTGGGTTAAAAGCACTAGCCCTCAAGGTCGGTTTGAACCACAAGGTGGGTGGTTCAAACTCACCATCTGCTCCTTGGAAACCCTATGCAGGGTTGCCATGCGTCAGGACCAACTATACAGCACTTAACAACAAAATCAAACAACAGCCAAAAAACCCTATTGCCACGGAGTCAATTCTGACACAGAGTAACCCTATATGACAGAGAAGAACTGTCCTATAGGGTTTTCAAGGCTACAGATCTTTATGCAAGCAGACCTACACATCTTTCTCCCACACAGGGGCTGCTGGGTTCAAACTGTTCATCTTTTGGTTAACAGTCGAGCACATTAACCACCACACCATCAGGGCTCTTGTATTAGCAACCTTTGATAAATGAAGATAATTTTAATGAACAGGTGTCTTCATGTAGTCTTTTCTTAATGAACCTTCCTATCACCCTGCACATTTTTTAGGTTTTAGTTTTGTGGGTGTAGCTGACTTACAGGTGTGGCTGAGAACACGCCCAAACCAATCGTGTTGTGTTAAGTAATCGTATTCTGTCATGAT